CCGCAGCAGAGGGATGAAAGAGCCACATGCGGCTCCAGAGCCACAGGTTGCTGACCCCTGGACTAACTGAAACTACCTTGAACAAAAACTACAGGGTGTTCCTCTTTGGGTTCAAAGAGGAACACAGATCTTTTGCGATCCATTGAGAAAGTAGAAGGGATGGGAATCTGTTGTTGTTGTTTTTTTACAGGAGACAGTAAAGACAAAGGAAAGAGGAGATGCCGCCACCTCCCTACACAACTGTAATGAGCCGCTTTGAAGCCTTTGATGAGTCTAGAAATGGCCTGACCCATATTGTATTCCCAGGGGAGGCAGCCTGGATGATTTGAGCTTTAAGTCTGGAAATGAGGCTCTCCATTCTTAAAAGAAGCTTTGCGTGGCCGAAACAAACAAGCAAGCGAAGAAGAAGAGCAATCTGGAGCGACGGAATTAGGAGAGAAAAGTCCTTATTTCCCCGCTCCCTTCATCACGCGGATCGTGACAAGGGTCGGCAAACTATATCTGTTTGCCAACATCCATCAGATTAGACATTAACAATGTCTATATAGACTATGGAAAGGAGACTGTCACCCAGCCCAAAAAGGAACAAAAAGAACCGAGCACCTCTACACCAGCAATCAGCACCCAGATCAGCATAGTTGAACTCCAAGATTAACATCAGACAACAATCAAGTAAGAACAACAACACCCCAATCCAGAAACTGCCAAAGAAGCCAACAGCCAACAGCCCAACCAAAGAATCTCTGAGAGATTCACCGAAAGCCATCAGAATATAAACTGACAGCAAACTGCACTGATGATATTACCTAGTTTGGGCAATGAAAACAAGGAAGCTCAGAGGGCACCAAGGACCCCGCAGTCATCATCTTCTTCTTCTCCTCCTCCTCTTCCTCTTCTTCCTCCTCCTCAAACCCCACCCTCTTTTAGAACTGATGATGTTACCCAATTGTATATTAAAAACATCTGGAAGAAAACCAAGAAGCTTTGGCAGCATTAAGGAATCCCCAGCTCCTCCTCCTCCTCCTCCTCCTCCTCCTCCTCCTCTTCTTCCTCCTCCTCGTCCACCCTCTTCTAGAACTGATGATGTTACCCAATTGTATATTAAAAACATCTGGAAGAAAACCAAGAAGCTTAGGCAGCATTAAGGAATCCCCAGCTCCTCCTCCTCCTCCTCCTCCTCCTCCTCTCCTCCTCCTCCTTCTCTTCTTCCTCCTCCTCCTCGTCCACAAACCCCACCCTCTTCTAGAACTGATGATGTTACCCAATTGTATATTAAAACAACTGATGTTACCTAGTTTGGGTAATGAAACGCCTGCAAGAAAACAAGCAAACTCAGAGGGCACCAAGGACCCCCTCGTACATCGAATTAATTGAATTTTGTTATTTTTCGCCGAAGGAACAAGAGGAAAAAAATGCTTTCTGAACAAGACGGTCGATGTTTCTGGAGCAGTTCTGCTTACAACCAAAGCGTCCAGACAAAGATCGTAAAATCAGGTGTGTGACTCCCTTAATAGCCGCTTTGCTTAGCGATGGGAATTCTGGTCCCAACTGTGTTCATAAGTCAAGGACTACCTGTATAGAGGAAGGGACGAGCCAGCTGGAAGTAGGTTTTGCTTAGTCTCATGGGGAACGCACTACATCAAAGATTAAGCTGGAAAGACTATTTCTTTGAGTGCCAATGGATACTGATATTTCCTTCTGGGATGGGCTGCTGGGGTTTCGCAGGGGTTTAGGAGAACCTCTAGGTAAGATTCTGTGCAGTTTGGAGAACCCCCAAATCCCACTTCTGGTTGGCCCCACCCACCCACCCCACCCTTCCCAGGAGTCCCCACATAGCCTATTTTGGATGCAGATAAGTGCAGGGCACATGCGGAGGCTTGGGGAAGGCAAAAAACAGGCGTACCAGAAATTTGGGAAGCATTTCTGGCCTCCAGAGGGCCTCCAGAGCCTGGGGAGGCTGCTTTCGCCCTCCCGGAGGCTCGAGAAAAGCCTCTGGAACCTGGGGAGGGCAAAAACAATCCCCCCCCGCTGTGGTGCAGGAGGTCAACTAGGCCACGCCCACCATGGCCACACCCACCCATCAACCGGGCAAAGAACCCCTTGCTAAAATTTTTGAAGCCCAACCCTGTTTCCTTCCTCTCCCCGTTGGATTTTTTTCCTAGCAAACAGAAGGAAATTACATGCATCTTCCTTGGTTTTAATCACGTTACACTTTTTTGTAGTTATCCAAATATGATTAAAGGAAACGACTACCCGGCTTGCTGATAAAAGTGCCTTTTTACAAGGGGATCCACGCGGGAACCACGCTAACTTCCTTGCGCGGTTTTAATTGCTATCAATAATTTTGCCGTAAGTAGGCTGCTTAACTACAGAAAGTGCTTACACTTTCTTTTCTTAGTGGGAAGGAGGGGGGGAAGAAAGTTGGTTGTTATTATTATTTTTTCCCCCTTCCCTCCCATTGCAATCTTCCAAAATTGAATGGAGTCTTTTGTGACATTAA